CCAGTTCGATCTCCAGTTGTGGGAGAAGTCAAGATTGGATCTTGACATCAGTTCTTTAAGAAATGATTGAAAGGAAGCTGTGCTCACGTACCATCCTGCTGATTCTTGCGAATGACAGAGTTCTTGGAGAAGAACACTGCTGATTCTGCTCTATCCTGCACTGCGCCATATTCAGTGGGAGCAGTTTTTGGATCCTTCCTTGGGCATGAAAATCTCCGTTGGGAGATACTACTTCTCTGTATCAGGTATAATTCTCTCCTACTCCTTTTGGTTCCGATCTGATTCAGTTTAAGGCTCAAGAATGATCATTGAAAATATGATTTTCTAAATAGGGAATGCGATTCCCAGTTGAAGGGAGAGAAAAATTTTTGAAATTCGCTCCTTATTCCGCAATCTTTGGGCGTCCATGGGATGGATCTCTCATCCCTTCATTTATTGTGTATGTAATCATTTTCCTTTTAGTATTTTTTTTCTTGTTACTTAATCAAAATAATAAGCCAATGCTTTTGGGCTGTAATTCAGCCACAGGTTGGTTTAAGGCAAATTATACTCCTTTAAACATGCATAATTTGAAACCTTGCTAGCCTGCTAGGTGAGAAGAACTAGATACGTTTTACATTGTAGGCATATAGTCTGTCACCTAAATACTTTAAAAACTAAAAAGTGAGAAGCACAACTAAGCACAAGGAGTCTCCCCTCATGTATGTGTCCTGTGCCTCAGAGCTGGTGAGGATATCAACCACCTATCTCTTTCTTCTTACTTTTTTTTCGTACGAAATCATTTTTCTTCCCTTTTTGTTGCTTCTTAGTCATCTGCTAATGATGTTGCAGATTTGTTTAAAACTAGTCATCTTCCCCTAGGACTAAAAGAGAAAAAATTATATGGAGATGCAGCTGAATTGCAATCCTTTGAGAGTATGGGAATAGATAAATACAAGAATCTTTATGGATGGCATGCAAAAATCAAGAAATATAAGGGCCTTTAAGGAAAAGGGGCAAAAGTTAGAGTTCGTATTAGAGCTGCTTGGAGTAAGGGTGGCCCACTAGATCTCTGCAGGAGATGAGTTCTGATGGATCCCAAGATATGCTAATTCACTGACTTGAGAAGAGTCAGAAGATAGGAATTAGAATCGGTGATACAAGGGCCGGGGACAACCTTTGTGAGGTGACTTGCTGATTGTATTCTTAGTGGGTGTTCAGCACGTACTGGTTTTATTTTTTGTTATTGCTTGACTATTGGATGTATTGCCAAAGAGCCTGTTTCTTGCTGTTAGCTCTTAATAGCAGTGTTCCTGATCAATGTTGATAGAAAGACTAAAGCACAAGGGATTCCTAGAGCCTGAGAAATGAGGCATAAGGTAAGGCATATGCCTGAATGAAGCAAAGCACCACTTTTGAAAATGAAGTGCTTATTTATAAAAATATGAAGATCTAAAAATTATCAAAGAAAAATATGCAAATCTAAATTATTAATGAAATAAAATGCTTCTAAAAGCCTATTAGTTAAATTTGTTAGTGCCATATTGTTAACAGGGATGCTGTAGGTTTGTAGGTTCCCATCTTATATAACTTTAACTGTTTAAATTCTGAATGTCATAGTAACAACATATGATATACTAACGAGAAATAATAGACAGACCATTAGGTCTAGCAGACCACAATAACTTGTCAGACCATGTGGATTTTGACTTACAATTTTATCTCTTTTCTGTCTTTTTATTTCCTTTTTTTCTAGTATGTAACTTATTTTCTGTTTAATGGTCATAAAAAAATCAATTAATTCTTGCTTTCTATACATTGTACATTCTAGCATTCACACAACCAAAATGTTGCAAAATGTAAACACCATTAGAGAATTTTTCCTTTTCTGCTAAGCCCCTAAAAGTAACACAAGGAGAAAATTTTCAAGATGGAACAATGGAAGAACAAACTTACCTTGAATACAAGTGTGTTATCTGGTATGCATGATAACATTCTTTGCATAATATTTGTGGCAAATTTTTTCCAACACTAATTCAATGACATTTCCTACAGTTAGTTGTTAAAATATCATCAATATGTTAAGGCAAATAAGACGTAGCATTACCTGGAAACAACAAAATTATTTTAGATGTTTCTGGTTTTAATTCCTTATCATTTTGACATTCTAAGCATGTTGAGTTATCCAGATATCATGTCTTTTTTTTCGTTTTTATTTTTGTGTGGATGAGAAAGGGGAAAAGGAAGAAGAAACTGCAAAATGTTGGCATTATAACACTTGGAAGAAGTCATTTTGTTATCCATTGAAGATGTCCAATATCAATTGTTTAATCTGACATATGTAAAGTTTACACTCTTCTTTCTTTTGTACTTCACTATGGATTAAGAAAAATAAAGAATTGAATGTAGAAAAAAGTACGGATTTGACATAAAATGTTTTTTTTTTTTTGTAACATTAGTATCAATGAGCACTAGAATAGCAAACTAGTTTCAAAAATGAAAAGCGTACTGATTTGTTGTACTCAATCAGCCTGCAAAGATGACATTTGATGAATATCCAGTGGATTCAAGCAAAGTTTTGTGTACGGGACTCCTGCATTCTGAGACTATGACAGCTGATAAGTTTAAGGGCTACAAGACACCTAAATTGATGTTGTGAGCTTTAATGCGTAGATGAATTAGTAGATATTTTCTTGTTTTCTTACATGGTTAAGTTTGATATATACTTAATTCTTTTGCTGTGTTTGCAATTAGAAATTAAATTAAAAGATGTATGGAAGATTTTAATTTAAAGAAGAGTTGCTTTCGTACTTACCCTGTAATACTGATGTTAAATAATCACTGAAGGAGCATATTGTTTTCTTGTCTTTAACCAGCTTGCAATGATGACGTATGATACATGTCGAGTGGATTCAAGCAACGTATTATATACAAAGTATAATCTTCCTGCATTCTTAGACATTACCCAATAAATTAGAAGTATTGAATGAGCTTAAACATTTTTATTTTCCTGTTCAAGCTTTCAAATTAGAAGAACAGTACATTGTCCAATTTCTAAAATTTGTCAAAGATGCCTGAAACTTTGTTCACTGTTCATGTCTTAAATATTAGTCTCCCTAATATACTTGTAGTTTAGATGAATCGTAATCGTTGGTGGTAGTTTCAAGGGATTTCAATGAACTTTTAAAGTTATCACCTGAAGGGGCAAGCCTCTTGATTTGAATGTACCTGTGGTTAAATGACTGGCCGTGCATCGTCTCCTCTCTCCAAGTAGAGAAACTAAGAATTTAATTATTTCCAAATTTTCAAATGGAGGATCAGCTTATCTTCTCTTATCTTTATGTTGAATCGAGTATTGTAGGCTGTTCACATTGTGACTGAGGTCTAGATTTAACTTGTGGCCTGGTTCACAAAGCCTCCAAAATTTTATGGTTAAATAAGAACTGTTCTTTGTGTCTGCCATTTTTTATCAGTGCTCTTCCATTCTTTTTGCAATTGGTTGTTTCATTAATGTTTCTAACTGAAATGCCAGGTTAAACAACCAAAGATAAATAGAATCTTGTCTCCGAGTATGAGTTCAAAAAGGAGGTTTGAAGTTTGAACCCATGTTGAATTCAATGAACATCTGAGAAGGTGGGGTAATTGGAAAAGCACTATTTCCTCCCACTATTGGACTGTGCCGATTGGCTTTTCAGTTCATCCCAATGGGAGATCATAATGTGCTCAATGATATATTTAGAAGGGTGATCTGGTTCACATAATCCACAGATTCCAACAGATTGAAATGTACATGCAGTTTAGCTGAGGTTTCCTCGGCAATGTGGTATATCATGCTATGGACTAATCCTTGGATTCATTTTCTCACCATCCCAGGAAACCCTGAAAACCCGATTTTGAGGTGTCCAGGCACCAGGGTGCGACTGGAAGGAAAAATGGAAATAATAATGGTTATGGTTCCCGATTCCCCCAATCAACAGAAATCAACATCACTATTCACTTGGATGCAAAATCCATTGATCATTTTAGTTTTCTGAAAAGTAAAATCGAAATCAATGGATCAATGCATAGATCAGTTGATCATTTTAGTTGCACAAACCAAATTCGATGACTAACGATTTTATGGCTAAAGGACATCGGTCTTGATCATCGAAATCCAATCAAAGTTGGGGTTGGGGTTGGGGGGAGGGGGGTGTTGAAGCTGCATCCCCATAATCCAAATCAGGAATGCATCGTAGGCACTAGATAGGTTGGTTTTGATGCCTAGAAGTCGATTCTGTTAACCTCTAAATCTAAGTGGTTTCAACTGAGGCAGGGACGGGGAGCCACTCCCCCATTCCTGTCCCTGTTAAAATCTCTATTTCTGTCCTCCATTATCCCTATCCCTCTCCACGGGGATCTCCACTCTCGGTGAATTTTTTATGACGCTAATCATTTTGCTTTTGTTTTTTATTTCATTCAAGATAATTAAATATAAAACAACTAAAATTTGTAATTCTATTAAAAAGTCCAAATATATTCAAATATCTTCAATCATATTTTAAAAATATTAATTGCATGTATACATACATAAATGCATACATATATAAACGGAAATCCTTACGGGTGGGATTGGCGTTCCATGAGGTGAAGAGTATTTTCTGCCCCTGTCAACAGGGATGAAAATTTTTCCATCCCCATCTCCATAGGGAAAAATCATCCCCATTCCCACCCCATTCGAGGTAGGTCCCTATGGGGATCAGCGAAATGGGGAAAAATTGCTATCTCGTGTCAAATGTCAAGCTCAGTCTCAAAAAATATATGTTTTGGATTTTGGAAAACAATGGCTTCTTCCATGGAGTTGAATCTCCAGCCATTGTTGCAAGGTTAATATGTTAAGAGGCATATCAGGCCTCTATTGATGTCTTTTCGACTGACTTGGCTATGGATGATATAGAATTGGGTGCCTCTTGGCCCCCATCAAGGTTAATGTTGACGGACCTCAAGGTTTGAATAAAGTGGAAGTTCCAGTTGTAATTCGTGATTCAAATGGGAATCTAGCTTTTTGTTGTGCTAAACTGATGGGGCTGTGCTCTCCTTATTTAGGTTTTTGACTGTGTTTTAGCTGGCTTTGCAATTGCATCTTGATAACATTATCATTGAAGGAGATTTGTTACAAGTTATACACTTCCTGGTGTCTTCTCAACCTCCTAGATGAATCACTTCCACTATTGCCAACTGCAGGGGTACTCTGTTGCGAGATCTTTCTTCTTGTATTCAACATCTTTTTTGTTGGAGTCGTCCCCCGGTGTGTAATCTTTGTTTGAAGTGATTGAATTGACGATGGGACTTAAGAAAAAAAAAAGAAAAAGAAAAAAAAAAACATCGTCCATTAGATTGAGGACCCTCTTGCTAGATAATAGATACTTGGAGCCCCTTAAATGTTTACTCTATGCTTCATACCTCCAACTCCAAATAAAACAACTCTTTATGAGTTTCAGAGCAAAGAGAAATGGTTCCTACTTCCGGTTTTCACTTCACAACATATCAAGGCCTCTAGGGGCTTGGATTATGAACGGGCAAAGTAGCAAACATGTGGAGCCCTCTACCGCTTGGAAGTCTTAGTCAAACCTCCTCTATGAAAATGATACTTATATTCTATAACATGTGATGTGAGACTCTCACGGGTTTGATCACTGTAGGGGTACAAATGGATTGGAACATGATTCAATCAGATTTGAAATCCAATCTTATTTTGAATTCGGATCACCCCCTCTGATATGAAAGAATCTGATCCGATATATATTATTTATAAATATGTTTATATTGCATTTTTGTGAATTGAATTCAGAGCAAGAAGAAAACAAATTTAGGGGTATCTAGAATGGTTGACCCCCACCCCAAAGAGTCTCTTTTATATTAAAGAGATAAAAGATATGTACAGTTATAAGAATGCCCTTACAGGGCTAAAAGGGCTAAAAGATAAAAATATCAAATAAAATAATAAGAATTATGATACTGTACAACAAGGACTACTCTAATAATGTACATCAGCATCAATTTGCCCACAAGAATGAGATATCTACTTTTAGTCGTGGCCTTAATGAAAAAATTGGCAATCTACATGTGAGAGGCTACATGAGGAAGAGATATAGAGCCTGCAACAAGGAGGTCTCTAATAAAGTGACAATCCACCTCGATATGTTTAGTCCTCTCATGAAAGACTGGATTAGATGCGATCTTGATAGTGTTGGTATTGTCGGCATACAGAGGGATATGAATAGGAAGAGAAATACCAAGATCCATGAAAATTGACTTCAACCAAACAAGCTCGCTACATGTAGAAGACATAGCTCTATACTAGACTTTAGTAGAAGACTTAGAGACAATTTGTTGTTTTGTTGCACTTCCAGGAGATGAGAGAGTCACCCATGAAAATGCACCACCCAGTAGTGGATCGACGAGTGTCAGGGAAACCAGCCCAATCAACATCAACATAAACCCTCAATTGTATGGATGATGAGGAAGAGAAAAACAGTCCCTGAGAGGTTGTGTCTTTAACATAACGAATGATGCAATGAACAACAGTCATATGAGGTTGTCTCGGAGTAGAGACAAATTGATTAATGACCTGAACAACATGTGAAATATCAGTACTAGTCATAGTAAGATAGATCAAAGAGCCAACAAGCTAACAGTACAAGGTAGCATTAGGAAGGATGAGGCCTTCGGATTTAGATAGCTTGACGTTTAGCTCCAGGGGGTATCAACATGTTTCTCATTAGTGATTCCAACTAATTTGACAAGATCATAGGCATATTTTTGTTAACAAATAAAATACCCTCAACTACTACAATGAACCTCCAAACCCAAGAAGTAAGTGAGAGGACCCAGGTCCTTCATGTGAAATGAGTTATGAAGTAAGGACTTCAGACAACTCACAAATTCCGTCATGATCATCCCCCATTAGAAGCATATCATCAACATACAATAGAAGGATAATAATACCTTGGGGTCTTCTCTTAACAAAGAGGGAGTAGTCAGAGGAACTCTGATTATACCCAACTGCAACAACAACATCCCGGAAACGCTCAAACCAAGCCCTGGGTGCTTGCTTTAAGCCATATAAAGACTTCTTCAGGCGATAGACACGTGAAGGATCACTGCAATATCTAGACGGAGGTTTCATGTAAACTGTCACTTTTAGTTCACCATGAAGGAAAGCATTCTTCACATCTAATTGGTAAATAGTCCAGGAATAAACAATAGATATGGCCATAAGAGCCCGAACTGTGGTGATCTTAGCAACCGGGGCAAATGTTTCTTCATAATTAATCCCATATTCCTGACTACATCCTTGGACAACTAACTGGGCCTTATATCGATCAAGAGAACCATCTGATTTCAGTTTGATCGTATAGACCCAACGGCTTCCAACAATAGAAGCATCTAGAGGAGCTGGCACAAGATCACAAGTATCATTCTCATGGAGGGCTTGAAATTCAGCATCCATAGCTTATTTCCACTGAGAACTTCTAATGGCTTGCTGATAAGATCTAGGGATATCTGTGGAAGAAAGTACAACAAAAAATGAACTATGGTTTGAAGGAAAACCATAGTGGTCAAGAGGTTGAGAGATACAAGTAGAACGACGAAGTGGAATAACCAAAATACTATCTGAACCAGGAGGATCTTGGGTCAATGTATCACTTATAGAGGATATCTGAGATGAATGCTCTGGACCGGGTGAAAGGGGGGTTGTAGGCGCAGGAGCCGGGACACGTAGCCGCTTGCGGGCGAAGACAAGAAGATCTCTCTTAGTTGAGGAAGTAGTAGTGTCATTTGAATCAAAGTCCTGCAAAACAGAGATGAAAGGAGTAGACAATCTAGCA